TTGCGATCGTCTATAAGATGCTCACTCCCCCGAACCGCCAACGGGCTCGATCACTTCATCGTACTTTGTCGCACGAGAGGCACCAGTCCTTCCTTCGTCTTTTTGAACCCTAGCCTGCTAGCAACTTTGCTTGTGAGGTCACCTCCTGCAAAGTAGAGCACCAGGTTAGCAACGTCTCTGTCTAACTAGGACACCAGCAGCCTTTAGCAAGCCAAGATAAAGCAGCGGAAAAGTCTCCACCTCCAACTGCAGCACAGTCCCTTCTCACTAAGATCACAGCGGCATTCTCCGGCAATGAGGTCTTTCTGCGGATAGTTGGAGCCTGCTGCAGAGCCAATGCCTCAGCCTTGGCTGATTCACCTAGTAACACATTCAAGTCTGCAGCTTTCTGCTTTCATTGAAGCTTGCCACAGCCGGGCTCAGCCTCTCCACACAGGCTGGCCACGTGAGGTCTCCATCCAGCTAGCAAACAAGCCATGCCTTCACCGTCTCGCGAGATTCTGCTCGAGATTCTCCTGAAGTCGCTCCACGTCCCACTGACCATCTACGTACCCGACGGCATCAGTGAGCACATGGCCACATCAGCCTCAGCAACAACTCATCTTGCCCCGAGGAGGCTCCTCTTCACTACAGAAGACCTTGACCGCACGGCAGAACGAAGCATGCGAGTAGCATCACGTCTCTGCAGCTTCATATGTCACTTGGATCGGTACCTGGCTTGGCGCGAGGGCAGACACACAGCCCTGCCCCTAGAGGCTAGCCCACGTATCTTGGCAGGTAAGCGCAAGCACATTGACGACGAGCAGCCTTCGACGCACCTACCCCGGAGTATGGGGCCCCTCCAGCGCCAGCAAATCATGTACCTCACCCTCATGATCCACAACTACACAAAAGACGGCGAAGGCTCGCCGTCCTTGAGCACGTCTGAAGTTGATCAGGCTGGTGCTTTAACCTGGCATTATCTTACCGGGAAGCTCTCGCAATCAGAGCTGAATGCCATTCTGCTCCGCACTTTGGAGCAAGCCAAGGTCATTCTGAGGTCTGAATTCACTCCAGCACATCAACGGAACCTACTCCAGCTGCATCCCCAAACGACGGCGGAGACCTGGCAAGGCCAAGCATATTTCCCCCTAGGCCTCCGGCTTCAAGACCCACATCAGCTTGATCTTGAAGCATATGATTTCAGAACGCTCAAAAGAGCATCACTTCAGCTTCGCCTACTACAACAACTGCGGACTATTACGGCCTCCACACCTACATCGGCCAGCGACCAGATCCGAGATGGCTGGGATTTCCTTGAACAAGACCGTGATCTCTCAAAGCTTGACTACGAGGACTACCACACCAAATTGGTTTCAATGATCCCGCACTATCAGGAGACACTTCGAGAGATCCTGACACTGTATCGCCTATGGCTGTCCACCCCTCTGTCCGATGAGGACTTCCATTGGGTGCGCAACCTGGTAGCGAATCAGCTACTACCTAGAGATACTCT